CCCCCGCCCCGGCCGCCGCCGCCCCGGGGAGCGCAGGAGCGAGGCCACGGGGTCCTCCCCCAGCCCGGCCACAGGGAGGGAGGGAGGGAGCGAGCGAACGTTCCCCCGGAGGAGCCGCGACCCGCGGTTACCTGCCGGCGGCCCCGCAGCGCAGGCGGAGCGGCACTCACCTCAGCGGGCAGCGGCGGCGGCGCCCGCACGTAACGGCCGCCCGCCCCGCCCCGTCTCTCCTCTCTGGGAGTGGCCAGCGGCGCTGTCAGTCAGCGCCGGATAACGGTCAGGGCGCGCTGAGGGGAGGGGAGGAGGGCTGAGGGGAGGGAGGAGCCTCCGCCTCAGGCGCCGGGCTGAAGCGGCGGCCGTTGCGCTCGGGTTTTGGGGGGTTTTTTTTACGCTTTCCCGGTGGTTTTAACGCCTCCCGGGTGCCCCCGGCTCGGGGAGAGCGGGGCCTGGCGGGTCTAGAGCCGGGGAGGTTGTAAGGGGGCCGCTGGGTGTCGTGGGATTGCTTTAAAGGGAGAAGAACGAGGGCCCAGGCCGGGCAGGCGGTGCTGTGAGCTGGCTGTGAAGGCAAGGAGCAGAGTTCGCTTCCTGGGTATCTGTCTGCAAGGGCTTCCTCAGTTCAAAACAAACCCCAGATTAAACTGATTTTGAGTCAGGCGTTTTTCCTTTTGTCTCCTCTTGTCTTCTGATGCTCTGCGTTCTCCATGTTTTTCCTGGCAGGTGTGCTTTCCTGTGTTGTGGTGCTCAAGAGCTGTAGGCGTACCCTGGAATGAAGAGGAAAATCGGTTTATCCCTCGTCATCTTGCTAGAAACTGAACTGCTGAAAGGGGACAAAGGCCGAGCTGGGTTCCCGCCTTTACTAGGCAAGGATCTGTGCTGCGTAGAGGTCCAAAGCCCATGCCTTGTGTACATACACAAACCGTACCCCACTTTGTGGCAGTGCAGAAAACCGTTACACTTCTGCTGGTGCATAGAACATGCTACTTATTAGTCACTTCATAGCCAGCACTGGCTAACTTACACATCCTTCTAGTGCAAACAAGCATTGCAATGCAAAGAAAACAAAATTTGTGGGTTTTTCCCCTTTTTTTTTGCCTAATCCATACAGGATGAACCTGTTTTTTTGTTGATGCCAACCTACTGGAGGCTTCATATCTCCAACATAGTACCTTATTGGTAAGTAGGTAGAAAAGGGTTACGTAAAAACCTGTGTACAGGCTGTAATCCGGGTAAGATTCTGGCTCCTTCCCGTCCTTTTTCTGTGAAGTTACAGCTTGGCTTCATGAGCTCAAGATCACCGACCTGATCAGGCTCGTGCAGTAAGGGACTCACTCAAGCCTGGGGCAGTGGCAAAGTCTGGTCCTTGTATCTAAATTTTTTAAGCAAGGGTGATATACCTTCCTCACCCCAGCTCTAAGAATTGTAGTAGGGGACAAGGCTCTTTTAGTCGTTTTCTTAATATCACCCACACACACGCCCGCACACACCCCCATTACTGTTGTACTGTTAGAGCTGTGAGACTGAGACTAGTGCAAAACTGGAAATATATATTGCTGCAGTGATTGGCAGAAGCTGTGTGGATGTGGCTTGGGTACACAGGAAACTGAACCAGACCACGCCTGTAGCACTAAGTTCATCATATGTTTCCCAACAGTGACCCACAACAGCAGCTTTGGAGAAAGGGGTAAAAAGAAAAAAGCCATTATAAAATTGCACCTGTGTGCACTGAAATCTCTAGCTGGGTGCCCTTCAACAGCAAAGTGTTGTCTCACGCTAATAGTTACTCTCATTAGCTAGGAAAAATAGTACTCACATTTACTGTTGGTTCAACTTTAATTTTGGCCTCTCATTACTGAGATCCAGAGGTCTCAGAAACCACAGTAGTGACCTGCATGCTTCTGCAGTGGCTGGAATTAGTCACTAGAGGGTATAGGTGTATACGGATTCAAGGCACTGTTCTAAATAGCTGGAAATGATAATATTTGCCTTGGATGTAAGAAAAGGCTCAGCTGCTTAAAACAGTTATAAAATGAAAACAAGGCATGGACAAGGAGTCTGCTAATTCCACCAAAATGTTTAATACCATAATAGATTTTCACTGAAGTACAGAGCTAATGTGAATATTTGTACAAAATACGTGGTTAAAAATAGTATTGATTTATAATATATACAGATATGTCACATCTGTGTCAGAAATGCAGACACTTGAATGAAAACATGAGTAATGTTTTTAAATCTACAACGACATACATGAAATATTTCTGCAGCTACCCACAGTAGGACAACTTGCCAAATTGACACTTAAGGATCTGTCAGTCATTACAGATGGCGTTTCTTTCAGAAGTTTCTGAACAAGAACTCTGCTCTAAAATGGATTCAAAACATTTACCTTCACTAACCAAATAGTGAAGAGAACACATCTGTGTGACACTAACGTAGACACAACTTTCTCATACTAGATAAATGATCAATTACAAGAATTTGTTAAAACAAGGCTGATTTTCTGGTGTGTAATAATAGAGAACTTTAATCCTTCTTGCTGGGTACTCTTAACTCAGGTGAAGAAGCCCCTGACTCAGGGGCAGCAAATGGGCCCTTCTTCATACAGCTCTCATTTACATGGGTTTAAATCCTAACGTCTGTCTTAAGGTTCTGAGTATCTTCATTTTTCATTAACTTTGAGGCTGCTCACCCTTCACAGCTTTCCCAGCCTTACTCCAGCAAGAACCTCACTAACAAATGTCTCCGATTCTAGGCTTTGTAGCTGCTGCATTGGCACACAATCCTATATTGAAAGGATCCACGGATGACTCTTGCTGTAGCCCCAGAATCTCCGTGTAGCAACTGAACAAATTGACAAAAGGGGTGAGACGAATTAAGGCTATTTTTCAATGCTTTCTGAGCATCTCTGCCGTGGAGGCATTCGGGGTTCGTGCCCTTCAGTCGGGAGTGCTGCTGCTGCTCTACCTCTAACAGTGCAAGCTTCCCTCCCCTCCAAGCCAAAGCAAATATACTCGACCCTTCGACATGTGGGAAGGAGCTTTTACAACACTTCTTCCCTTGTAATTTTACCTCTGAATGCCGCAGTCTACGTGTATTTTAAAAGAGAGCACAGCTCACATTAGAAAAAACATCTCCTTTTAAGAGGAGGCTAGGATATTTGAAAGCTGCTGGACTCCCCCCAGAAGATGTGCTAAAGCAGGAAAAGCAGTGTTGGGTTTTGTTTTTTTGTTAGCATAACTAGTTATTCAAGAGCATTGCATGAGGATGAGTATAAATGAGGATCTGTCTGGGACTTTAATCCATACCTGGTTTTGCCTTTTGGTAAAAGAGATACAAAATATGATTTCTTAGCCAGATGGGAATCAAGAAAATGCAAAGGTCTTAAATTCATCCTAGTATGTGAGAGAAAGTCTTAAGTGGCTAAATGTTTAGTGGTAAAATGTTTACCACTAAAAAAGGAACAAAAATAAATTTGGTAAAGGTTCTTTAGAGGATGTGATCTGAAAGCACTGTAGCTTTAATCAGGATATCCACAATAACCTACTTGAATCCCCTCTTCCATAGAAAGCTTGTTCCAGCTCCCCAGATTCGTGACAGATACTGTCTTCAAGCAAGCTGTTCCCGTAAGTCTATCTCTAACACCACCAAACTGACTACATTCCATCATTGGGCAGTAAAATACTGAAGGACCCAACCCCTGTGAGCTGCTGAATCCATTTTAAAAAGTTGGGCCGATCATCAGGGAGAGAGTTGCTAACTACAGACCCAATTGCAGAGCTGCAGTCTGCTCTGCACCTTCCAACTCGTCCTTCTTAAATCACCGTTTCTCTTGCTTTGATTGTAAGTCTTCAGGAGAAAAAAACGAGGCTGCACAAGGAACAGCAATAGCCAGACTATCAGTTGTAAAGTGTAGAGAGCCTCAGCTGTAAGTAATCAAGGCACGAGCCATGGAAGCCTCGGGCCCCTGCTGCAGCTGGGAGAAATACTTTTAACTCCCATTATTCAGTATTGTGCAGGGTTAGGTTGCATGTTATCACTTGCATGCACAAATGCCCAGTATAAATAAATATTGCCTATCTGTGTGTACAAATTAAGTGTGTACTGAAGTTACACACACAGAGTCACGTCCTCAACCAAAGACCAGTTTGAGATTCTCTGGGACATACAGCTCTCTACCATCCACAACTGATGCTCTGAAGCTTATTTCCAGGTGCTATGTTGAGTGCCAAGCAAGATGGAAGAGCCACAATCAACATGTTGGTAATGCAACATTTCAGTCCGATCAGATGAAGAACCTTACTGTAGTTGGGAAAAGCTCATTTGCTGCTCAACAGTGAAGAATAAATCAGACCTCCTATAGTGCATTTTACCTCTCAAGTATTCCATAAGAAGATGATTATTACTTTTTCTAATCAAGACACAGAGGTCAAGGCCTGTCTTTTCAAAAGGAATCAGTAAGCTCAGAGCTTACATTTCCAATGAGGCTTCTTAAGCGGATCTAATTTTCAGAATCATGAACAATGGTCCTTTGAAAACTATGTCTTTTATGCCACACACCCAGAAAAAAAATAAATCATTTTTCCAAATACAGATCTCAGTGATCAAATATAAGAATTTCACAATACAGTTAATCAGCAAACTCATCTCCTGGTTTCCAATCCTTTGCAAGATCCAGTACAAATTGACACAAGAGACTACAAACAATTAGTTTCAATTTTTGTAATAATTAATGTTAATAGAACTTTTTCCCCAGCCTGGATGGTAGCTGGATGCTACAATGTTTCTTATTCAATCATTCATGCCCACTGTATTTAGCCATTATTACAAAAGCACAGTAAGAACCACATTAGCTGTCAGGGATGTGCTTTTGCTCATCAGGGACTGCGCTGTGTTCTTTTTTTGCACACACCTAGCCAAATCCACAGCAAACCAGTGCAAGTTCACATGACTGTGAAACTGCAGCAGTTTAAAATGGAACACGGCATAACCTGCCAATAAGAGGGCTATTTTCTCTCCGTAATTTCTACTGAAACAGTTTGACCTATGTCACCCATTTAAGCATTTTCACTTCTACCAGTTGAGAGCCCAGTGGTATATACCACACTAGTCAGTTTATTAATAGAGCTTAACTCTTTAAATGTTGCCTTTCAAAATGCCAATGCAAGCAGAACACAAAAATATTGTTTGCCATATTTATTTTTCAAACTAAGCTCTGAATTATACAAGTGTAAAAGTGATTAATTAGCCAACAGCTTTTTAATACTCCTATAAAATATGACTAAATAGAATATTTCAAAAGTATGTACAATATAATGGAAACGCTAACATAATCTGTCACAGTGCTCAGACATACCACTGTAATCAAGTCTTGCACGATGGTTCAGTCCATTACTCTGTACAAAGAACAGTCTTTCTTTTTGCAGAAAGCTTTTTCACTGTTGCTGAATGGGAAGGAGGGGGGAAAAGACCAAAATAAAAACAACCCACCTCTCCCACCCTATTTAGGATTAAATAAATGTTAAACAATTTATGCACGGGGCACATTTTTATAATATAAAGCACTTTACAATAACTATGTCTGTAGTCTTGTTATGGTTGAGGAAGGGATGCTCTTGCCATGTTTTCTTGCTGAAAACAAAGTGTACTTGAGTGTGTACGTATACGTTAGGAAGGGGGGAGTTTGTACTACCTTGTCTTAATTACAAAAATCAAGGCCACAAAAATTCTTTGTTCTTTTGTTCCAAAAGAGCAGATTCCAAAATACCCTTTCTCCATGCGTTGTCAATGTTTTCATCCTTTTAACTGTACTTAGGAAGTCATTAAAATTTCGATTTCGTATCTGAAGAGGTCAGAAAGGACAAGCAGGCAACAGAAACAGCAACTGTACTCCCCTGATTTTCTCCTTCCATTTCCAAGCAGCAGCAGGAGCAATGTCCACCCAAAAGAGGGCCCCAGGGCATCGCTGCCAGCCGCTCCCATGGGCACCTGCTTTGGAAAGGAAATTAAAAGGACACTGTCTGTGTCACTGTGCATCAGAAGCTGCAATGTAACACAGAGATTTCATTCTTATTTATACTATTACAACATGAGAGAATCTACTTTAGCACTGCGGACACCCTGTGAAAAGTGCAAGTCAGAGGGACTGAGTTCATAGATGCTACACAACAGATAATTCCCACTGAAGTAAGTAGGGACTCTTGCCTGTGAATTACTGAATTAAATAGGGCAGTTACTCTTCCAGATGGTCAGCATTTTTTTGAAAGAAGCCTTTCTTCTGTGCCAGGCAAGAACCAGCCTTTAGCAAAATACCAGGTTCTCTTTAAGTCACAAATCCTGTTACTTTTATGATGGGGACATTATTCCGTAATACTTGAAACATTTTTCCTTGATGACCGTTATTTTATCACATAAAGGTGATACATAAGCTTTGACCATAGTTACAACAGGCTTCTTTGAATTTTCAGGTTTGTAGTTGTGTTTCTATTTCTGTGCTTTAACCAGTGAGCCATGTTCCACGCCCTCCTGGGTAGTACTACGTAGTTTTGTGAAGACAAAGAGTAGTCATTGAAAGGGGCCTGTTTTAAATGTCTGAAAATGCACTTTGAAGAAAGAACATTTAAGATCCAATGCTTTAATTTGCAGTATAGTTTTACATCATTTGAGGCCAAAGTCCGTAGTTCAGAACCAAGTCTCCAAAGTTTAAGCACATGGATACAAGGACTAGATTCAGCCTCCAACACTTCTGCATGGAAAAAAATCCAGAGTATCAAATTTGATTGGAGAAGATGTCTGATTGCTTACATCAATCGAGGATGTGGCCAGTAAATTCTTCCATACAGCACGTATCAACAAAAAACCTTAGGCGTTTAAATCTTTCTCTCCCTGTTTATACTGGTCTAAAACCCATGGACCTTAGCGTTCTATATGTTCTCAAAAACAACAGTGGTGTTACTTCTGAAATATTGTAGGTGGCCTATGACGGTGTTTTCAACAGGAACATCAGGTTACAGTCTTAGGGTAGTAAGTGACTATTTATTGAAACCATTTCTAAATGCATCACTGAAAAAATAATTGAAGTGAAACCTCTAAGGAGTTACTTTAAGACAACTTTACACAGATATCATGAAGATACTAAAGCCCCATTTTTTGTTCAGTCTCTGCTGTATTTAATGTGCTTCTATTAGTATAACACACGCACGACGATGTCCATAATGCAGTAACAAGTATCACATTATAGATATACGCTAAGTAAAGCACTACATCTCAACAGGAATATTAGGGGCCTGTGGTGGTCGCAGAATGAACTATATGAGAATGCTTAAGTCCTCATTCTCAGAACATCCTTCACGGTGCACGTTGAGAATGGCATCTCCTGTCTTCACCGACAAAGCAACATGCTTTTCTTCCTGGAAGTACTGGAGAGCCAATACCCCAGCAAGGGGGACTTGACTCTGCTGAAGCTTGTAGCCTCACTGCTAATTAAGGGTAGAATGGAACCCTCCCTCAGAAACCAGATCATTAGGTTTTATGACAAAAATCTTGATTACAGAACCTAAGCTGACTTTTCAGATCCTAGAATGAGCTTCCAAGATGTATTTACTTATTTTAACTTGTAAAGGATTTTAAACCGTGGAATCTCACTGTGCCATTTTATAGTCACTTTTGGGAGTACAGCTGCAGCTAATTAGCTTAAAAATCCCACCGTATCTTACACATATGCTCAGTTTTCTGCAGTATTAATTTCAGTGGAACTACTCATGTGCATAAATTAAGCGCATGCTTAAATATATGCAAAATCTGAGCTCAAATGTCTAGAAAATAGGTTCTCAAAAGGACAAGTATGCATAAAAAAAATCATCATGGAAGGTCTGCCAGACAGGGAATCCAGTATCTGCCTGCTGTCAGCCATGATGAAAACACAGAACAATTTTTGTAACCCAGTATACAGTGCAAGTGAAAGAAACATGCAGGACAGAGTGAAAAAAGGGGATTCAATTGCATGCAGTCTAATTTCAAGTGTGTAATTATGGTCCTGTTTTCTTTGGCCTAAAAAAAGAGAAAAAAAACAACAAAAGAACACCAACTAACCTCTCCTCACCTCCACAAACCCAAACTGCATACAGCTCAAAAAGGGCTTTAAAGCACAGGAAGTGGGGAAGGAAAAGGTCTGAATATTAGAGATGTACGAGTAATTACTAACAGTTTCAGGGCTATTCAACACACCACTAGGAAAGCATTCAGCCTATATCATTACTAGAACTTACAGCTACGACAGAGAGCAATGAATCCCTCCTTAAATAAGCAGTTTCTCTTTCTGCCTCAAATTCAGAAGTACCACTCATACCTTTATGGAAGATAAAATGACAATCCCTGTTGATATTCTGGCTCCCTTCTCCTTAGAGAGAAGGACTGAAAGACACCAGACCCTCCAGCCAGCTGCTATCTCTCAGCCCAGAGAGCTCTGTCTCACATCCCTGCCACCATTAAGGACGAATTTACTCTACAGCTGTTGGTGGAAGAGGGTGTTTTTCTGATATTTCTAAAAATGTTGCAAAGATAGTATTCCTTACAGAAACTCCAGGGGGATTGAAAAGGCCACCAAGCTGCTAGTAGATTAAAAACAACACACATGCCCCCCTTTAAAAAAAAAAAAAAAAGGGAAAAGACTAAGGTCTGGTGGGGAACTGAGGAGGTCAGAGGAGCAGGCTGCTTGATGAAGGGCAATAGCAAGTATTCTGGGAGTTTGAATATCAAGCCTGCTATCAGCCTAATTGCCCACCCTGAATGATCTCTCTGGTAGTGGTGTTTCAGCATGCAAATTATAGCTGTGAAAAAATCCTCAGACTGAAACCCTCCCTTGTTTCTTCAGCCTTGTTTTGTCCTTTCCAGAAAAATCTATTAGTTGGTGTGTGATATGGTTACATATACAAAGATCTTTTTCCTAGCCCTTTTATTACATAGGCTTGATTACTGTAAAGGGATTTCAATGAGTTTAATGTCTGGTACTCAAAAGGCAATGGCTGCCTTTCAACAAAACAAAGCAAACAAAAACCAAGAGCTGTGCTGGAGGAGAGAAGTGCTGCTTCTGCCGGAGAGGCTCAGTTAGATACAGGAGGTGGCAGACCAGGGCGTCGGGTTTGAATGATTTTTGGCTTTGGAGAATTCTTTGGGTCCTCGTCTTCTTCCATGTCGCTGTCACAGACATGCACTACCACACTGGGAGTGGACTCTGTTCCTGCGTGCAACTCGTATTTCTCCCCTGGAAGCAGAGAAAAATAGTTAGATCAAAAGACAACAGTCTGAGTAGCAGTACAGACCATGGCGCTCTTGAACTGCAGAATACTCCTGTACCTGGATAGGGCAGATGAGCGTGTGCTGCTCCTAAATGTAGGTGAGGGCAAGCATGGCTAGACAATATCAGCTATCACAACAGATTCTGGGGATCCTGCCCCTGGGAGGCAGTGATCATTGGTCTGTAAGGCATAATAAAATACCTTGGTTGTCTATAATGGTGTTTTACACCAATATTAGTGACCAACAGCACTGAAAAAAAAAGTACAAAGAGGAGAGAGAACACAGAAGTTCATGGCTAAGAAGAGGGACTGGAATCCAACCTATCAAACATTTGGTCTGAAGTCATGTCACACCTGTTGGGTTAGGGTTATTCTTTTTTGTTGTTGTTGTTTTCTTTCAGTCTAGCATGGCTCCAGTCCCATTTAAAGTCCACTAGATTCTGCAGCTTGTTGCCTCCAGACAGACATCAACACTTGGTCCAACTGCTCCAGAAATAAAAAAATACATGTATCTGCTCCAGAAGGATTTTGAGATTCAAAGCTCTTTAGCTGAGACTGAAACAAATTTTGTCTCTACAGATGAGACTACAGAGTACAGTCTATAAATGCTCACTACCAGACTAAATGCTTAAACAGTACATTAGATTTTCTAAGTATACATTCCTTATTTAAGTCTCCACCCAGTACTCCTGTGAGGAAGATTAATATGGCTTAGGTGGTTACTTGCAAGAGTCCACAAGCAAACAAAGGAAAATCAAGATCAGGCATTGGACTTCCAGTCCTGCATTCAGTCTGTTGGCACTACATGTGTTGTGGATTGTACACAGGATGTAAGTAGGTATTGGTTATTAAATTGCAAGGAATTAATTTAAGACTGTAAAGAAAAAAAAGTCCCAACGGTGACATTTCTGACAGGATGACTTGGTCTTTCAGATGTGACAAAGACCCATTCACAGCACTGAAAACTAGAAACCATTCCAGATACTGCGCTTGCCCCCTTCTGGACTATTTCTCATCACTCTCATCTCCAAGACCCACAAGCCTCAGTTAAATTGAACTAGGCTTACAGTGACCACACGCACACCTGATAGCTTGGTTTTTTCTTCGTAAGACTGGTCCAGAACCACTGCATATTTCCTGAAAAATATTCTGAGATGACGACGGTGAGGCCCAATATACCTAGCTGACCTGTATTCGTGGTGCAACAGCTCCTAAACGCCTGCATCACTGGCAGAACCTGGCAGGGCTAGGTGTTGTACGATGAAAGTGAAATGGCAGTCCCTACCCCAAAGCACTTGCAGTTTGCTCATGTTACTAATTTGGACTTTTATTTATTAGCAACTTTGTGGCAGATTAATTCATGTGAGGAAGGGGTTGCAGGTTTGGCCCTTCATTAGCACACGCAGTTCTGGGACTGTCATCACATGGTATTTGTGCTGACAAATTCTTCGTTCAAATAAGACTGGGTGGCTTGCGACTAGACGACATTCTGCATTTTTGCCTAAAAAACAGTCGGCAACTAGTGAATAATAGCTATAAGTCAGGCATCTTGCTGTGAGAAATATTTTACTGCTGTGATACCATTAATGTTGACATTTAACTGCTCTATTTTTAGCAACCTTTCCTCTGAATCCAAATTGAGCAAAGCATTACAGGTCTTGCTGATAGGCTAAAATATAAAAAGAGAAATAGCTTGGTTGTGCTGCATTGAGAAATTATATGGTTTTTCTTTGCCTATTTTCCCTCTGGGCTTCAGCTAATTTCTCAGCTATGGTCTGACGTCAATGCTGCCAACCAGCACCGAAGGCTACATTGGTCACTGTCAGCTACAAGCAGCTCTGCAGTGCTGCACACACACAATGCTGGGCCTTTTCCTCATACACCAGCACCATGAAATAAATCAGATTCACTGCCCTCTTAAAAGGTAATAATCTCAGTTCAAATGCCACATTCTTTTACTGTTCAAATCCTTCCCAGAAGGACTTTTTCTGCTGAAAAAGAACAGTGGAAATAACTACAGACACAAGGAAAAAATATTCAGATGCCTCTGGCACAAGTAACTGCAACAGCAATTAATGTCACTTTGCAAATCAAAATGTGATGCACTTATAAATCAGGTTTTTAAGGCATACGGTTATTTCTGAACATAAATGAGCTGCAGACTCAGTTCTGTACTCACAATTATTCATGCCTGCAGAACTGTGGCTCAAACTGCAGAAAACCTTTTTATGGCTGAGTTAGGAACAGGACAACAGTAACTATGGGACTTTTATACAGCCGTGTCTTGTTCCTAAATGTAACCATTGTTTGCAGAAAAATACTAGGGTAATAAGTACAAAATAAAAATCCAATAGATAACAGCCAGATTACCCCTTCCCTTCTGCTTTTTTTTTCTCTCCTCTTAAACAACACCTCCAGCATAAAAAAAAAAATTGAGCTAAATCTGCAGCAGTTAAGCTAGTGGAGTAATGGTTGAACCACTGCAATCGAGTTAGGTTTACAAGACATACAGGTTGTCCCAAACTAAGAGTAGCAAGTCAAGTTAGCATAGTTAAGACTCACCAACTTCTGTAGTTAATATCACTCAAGCATTTCTCCAGCTATCTCATTCAGCTGTCTCTGATGCTGCCTCCTTTGCATTCTCAGGCCTTACATTGCCCCACCGCTCCTGCTTCTCCCGCTTGCCTGGAGAACTCTTACAGGCTAAGCCAAAGGATTCTTGGGGAGAGGTGTCTTTCTCCTCCAGCAGTCTTTGGGCTGTCTCTATCCCTTATTATTAAGTTGTTTAAATATTCACATAAGCTGAGATAACAATGGAAGCTAACATAAATTTACTCAGAAAAATATTACAAAATTTATCAAATATGCTCGAACATCTAAACTCTGCCTTCAGGGTATAATGCAGGGAAGAATTCAGCTGTGGCACCTCCACCATATAGATTTGTCAGAAAAGGTTCCTAACCCCTGAAAATAGCAGCGGTGTCCCTCTATTCATTTGTTTCACATAAGAAAAAAAACAGGAATTTGAAGTTTCACCATTCAACAGTGGGCCTAGCTGCTTTTATGTCACTTGGCACTACCTTTTGTGACCACATTTGCCACAAGCAAACCCACAGCCTCAGGTGACGCAAATAAGATGACCCCAAGAACAGCACAAAAGCAACTTAGGGTATTTTAGAAATAAAAATAACAGCATGTGATTTTCTATCCCTTTGTGAATCAGTACTATGAACTTTGATGGTGCATCTCTTGTCTAATGAGGCACTTTTGTCCAGCAAAGAGTATGTTCATACACTTAATTAATAATGAAGAAATGGTAATGATACTGTGCAGCTACCTCATCCCTGATTCTGACTCATGGTAAAAGGTTAATGGGTTCAGAGCTGTCCATTCTGTGTTAAACGTGTCATTAGCTTCATAAAAATACCTTCCCCTTGTAGTCCCTTCATCCAAGTGCTTTACAAAAAATACGGTACAAATAACGGGTAGTCCTTTGTACGGGTGCATGTTTATTCCGGAAGAGCTACAACCCATCCCATATAATAGCTCTGCTGCATGGATCTGCCATGCGCAATATGGAGGAGTTGCTCTCTGGAAGTCCATTACTGATGTTTGCAGGAGAAGGGCACCCTCCTCTCCAGGCTGGCAGAACAAGGCAGAGGGAGAGCTTTCTACTACACCCAGCAGCTCTCCTGTACCCTGCCCCTGGTAAGGGGAGGGAAGGGCAGAAGCAGGCACAGAACACAGGGGAGAGGAAGGGCAGGGATGGAAAATTTTATCTATCACCCATCTGCCTGCCCCTCCACCCCTTTTAATCCTCTCTGGAAGTCATCTGAAGTATTTAGTAATTCCTTTCAATCAGAGAGAACAAACATGAGAGTTTGAAAACACCTGGGCATAGAAAACTTGCCGTGTGAGACATGGTTTGAAGTCCCTGTGTGCAGCATTTACTGGGCAGGGTCCTGCTCTTCCCCGTTTTCCCCTTCCCCTGTGCAAGGGTAAGCCAAACCAAGGGCGGAGCAGGGGCAAGAGCTACACATCCTCCTCAAGAAACCCAGCTAGAGCATGGCAGGAATGGCTACCTCTTAATGGCTCAGAGACAAAAATGAAACCCTGACCCAACCCCTCCTCTGACCACTAATCATTTGCAGACCCAGCAGCCAAGTGGCACAGACTATTGCAGGGTCTCCTTTGTGTCCCAAGAGGTACCACTGTGGACCTAAGAGCCATCATCTGTAACACTTCAGAATGGTGCTTTCATAATGTGAAAAATGTATTTTCCATGACCTGGAGCATAGCCTGAAGGCATTTAGGAGGTGCAAAGCCTGCTGGAATGCTGATGAAGGAGTGGGAAATGTAGAGAGAACTGAAACTGGTACAAATTCGTCTATATGGGCTGCTGGAGATGGTGCCCAGCCTGCACTGGTTTTCAAATAGTGCCTGAAATTGTGGAGGCGAGTGCTAAGTGACAGAGGGAGAAATCACACTGGGGAGCACATGGAGCAGTTACGCACTCAGGACCCTGACCTACATTGTGTGTTATTGCATAGCGCAGATCTCATCAGTGGAGCCATGATCCGTGAATCAAAGCCACGGGAGAAAGGCAATTTGTCTGGGCAAATGCTGTGTGGGCAGCAGGCAGAGGCTGAGATTGGCAAGGGGAGGCCAGGGTGGCACCTGGGACCCTGGGGAAAGGCACTCTGAAGAGCATGGACTTAGAAAGTGAGGGAATACAGGGCAGTCTGTCGAGAAGAAATTGGGGTAACAGGTTTGAAAGAGGCCATGGGGGAAAGAGGGAAGAAATATGCAGGTTGGGGATAGACAGGGAGGGGGTAGGACTGCTTTCCAGAAAATAAGGACTTACTCTAATGCCAGCAAGATGGTAATGGTTCGTAAACTGTAACTTTTGAGAGGAGCAGCTCTGCTGTATACACATAGCCTAGACCTGGAGATTCCCCCCCCTCCCCCTTACAAACATTTCTCATATAAAATTATTTCCTGTATTCCTCAGTGGGATGAAATTAAGACCTTATAAAATGTTATGGAAAAGACATGAGGGCCTACACGAGCCAACAGCTTGGTACATTGCAAGTCAGGCCAGGCAGAGACACAACCTGGGCCTGATAGGCAAACAGCCAAACTACCACCCTAGTTCAGTGCAATGCCTTTGTATCTTCATCAGTATTTTAAACTACTGGAAGTTTGCTTGACAATAGAAGTGTTCTTCATCAAAGAGATTAATGATCACGCTTCTTTATTTGCAATATATTGAAAAAATTGTAGGCTGGTGGTCAGAACCAGGCACAGTCACAGTTGCTGGCTCTGACAGGTCTATGGCATTCTAGTCATGCCTTGTTTAAAGCTCATTGTCTGCATCTGCAGAAAGTAAGAATATACATCAATCAACCAGAAACTTAATTAAACATGCCTTGGTCTTCCCTAACAAGTAAACGCACCCTTACCTGTCTGAATTTAATGTCAAAGGACCAAAAGACAGCTTCTTTTTGTGCACAGCAAAAAGAAATCTTTCCATTAGACCTCTCGGATGCCAGACAGTCATTGCTGCAGCCACAAGGCTGCAAAAAAAAAAAACAAACCCAAAACTGTCCCAAAACTGAGCTTGGAAAAAGAGAACACACAGCAAATCTGTTAACTAGCTTCCAGCCTATTCATTTTACTCTGGAGCAAATCTCCCAGCCTTTGTGCCTAGGGACAGTTTTAGTCTCTAATTTTGTGGCTATGATGATTATGGCAGCGTACTGTGAAAGATGACCTCGATTCATGGAATGGGACAGTAGCATGGGTCTATGTCCAAGTGGTGTATCTTACATTCCCGCAAAATAGGTCAGTAAAACTCATCTTGTACTGAGGACATACAAGAAACTGTTCACTATTTACACGCTCAAATGAGTTTTCCTGGTCCTCAGATATTAATCTTACCAAATCAGTGTATTTAATATAGGAAAGATTCCTCACAAGTTAAAGACATAGAAGTTGTGCTATAACATTCAGAGTTCTGTAAACAACTGTGCCAGTGAGTATTTTTTGATAGCTGACAAACTGTAGTTATATTTTTTAATTGTGTTTTTTGAATGAAAAAAAATCTAACTTAGCTGAGACTAAGTGTCATTTGACATACAGCAGTATGTTTTACTGATGTGATACTGAGAAATGAGTTTTGGTGGGATTTGTTTTTCAATGAAATTCTAAACATAGTAAATGCACAACTGAGAACTGCAACACTATTTTAAAACCGCCTCTGCAGTTAACTAAAATTGATCTCTCTAACAAGGGCTAAAAATAGAAAGAAGAGAGCACACAATGACTTTTCATATTGCTCCCTGCAGGCTCCTTAAATACGGGTGAATATGACCTTCACGCAAAGCTGTCCCAGAGTGTGGGACAATGAGTGATATTTCACATTCCACTGCTCTAGAACAGGAATTGATTTATTACCCAGCTAGCTAGGGAATTCGTTTACATGTTTCCATTTATAACACTGCTGCATCAAAGGAAAGAAAAAAAAAAAGAGTTTTTTGTTTTTCTTTTATTCAGCAGTTTAGAAGCAAAGCATCAATTCTGGAAATAATAAGCAATATAGTACAAAGTGTTACACCTGACAGCCCTTTTCTATGGGCTTTCCTGCTGAAGAGGAATAAAACACAGGAATCTCTGACGTTCTGATACATATTTTCCCCCTGTGAGAGATCCCACGTGAAAAAGATATGAGGTGATCCTGCAAACCTTGTGAATCATGACACATCTCTTCTGCACCCCATGCACTTCAGCTCTGGGTTACTCTGGTGGAGTTACACAAAAGCCCCAGTGATAAGATGTCTGCAACTGGAAGCTAGTCTTAGAACAAGAGAGCAGCATCTTCAGTACAGCTGGGGAGAAAAAAATTCTCTCATCCCACAAGAATTTCAAAAATAAACTCTAATAAATTTTCATGAGCTCACCCCCCAATTGTTATTAGATTGGATCTGAAGTGTTTTATTTCAATATGAAAATAATTTAACAAGCTATTTTTTCCTATGGCTTACATATGTAAATTAGACAATTTCTAAATGATACTGCTTAGACCTGGAAGTGGAATCTTTTCCATTTTGAAAATTTTAAAAAAGGATGCTTCAACAGCTTTGAAAGAAAACTATTTGTAAAGATGACTTAATTAAATCAAAACTAATCCTCTCCTGTGAAAAGTTTTGGTTTCATCAGATGAGCATTTTCTTAGGGAAAGGATTGTTTTGAAAATCCCAGCTAGCTTCAATTCCTGGCATTAGCTGAAGATGGAAACACAGAAGAAAGTCTATCTGCATTATCCACTGACATCTATCCTATTTTGCTAGAGGCTACAACTTATCCCATTCCTTCTGCATACAGTTTTCAACAGAAAATGGGCAGTCTCAACAGAGCAATCCTGCTAGGATTGGGGAATGGTAGTTCTGTCTCGACAAACTTGTTAACATGAGAGATTCTCCACTCTGGTGGAGATGCAGTGATGCCTAAACATTTGAAGAGGTATTCTGCATCTTGGAAAGCAGTACCAAGCAGATGTGATTTAAAACAAAAACTCCTCAAGTTCATGGACAAGCATTTATCCAGTCCCCACATAAACCATCAGTTGTCTCATCTAAGCACAAATCCAAGCACAATAAATCGTGTAAACAAGCTCTGATCTGCTATTCAATCAAATAGCACTCACTAGCTGCAGATAAGATCTAATTCTGTACACACATACGGTAAAACTCACGCTCACGAGCTGCAGACAGGATCTAATTCTGAACATACATATGGTAAAACTCATTCTTAAGTAAACAACCAGTTGACATGCATCAACTTAAATCTAAAGCTTTAACGCAACTTACAGGCTTTACCTCAACCTCCTCTATGGTTATTCTCTACACTGCTGTTCTCTCATCTGCTTTTTCTGACACATTTTCACACAAGGACCAAAAGCTTACCTGGTCCTAGCTTAGAAACTGCATAAAGGAGGTCGTAGTTGATGACAGGTGTTGCATCATCTATTGGTTGCCACCCTACAGGTGGGGAGGCTGGAGGCGAGATGAGAAACTGTTTTGCAGGCTGTGGTGGTGCCAAATGAAGCTTGTCTCCATCTGTCTCGGAGGTCTGAATCTTTAAAGCATAACAAATACATTGTTTAGTATAGGATGGGTAAATGGAATGATTACTCAAATCATACACTTCTAATACCAAATGCCACCCAGGCAGGGTTTCAGCGTCAGTCTCAGCAGAGAAGGCCTGGAGATGAATTTCATCTCAACCTTACAGATGGTTTCTCTACAGTAAATACACTGTGGGGGGCTGTTATATGAGCAAAGCTACAATGTTTGTGCCTATTGTATACGTTCTCTGAGGATACATGCAAAGCTTTGGTATCCACAGCTGCTAGTTCAGAGATTTTTGAGGCAGAAAAGATATTGTTGTGATCTACTGGCCTAAACTCCTAAATAAAACCAGACATTAAACAAGAAACCAGTAAGTCCTGCACCAAGGCTTTATCAGTAATTTCAGAGAGGTTTCTGAAGATTTGTTTTCTTTAGCTGAAATGAGAAAGGAATCTAACATGTTCCTTAGTAATTTGCAACTAAGTGTTCTCATTTTATTTCCATCTTAAATTATCTAGTTTAATTCCTGCTTTTTTCTGATATATTAAAGAAGTCTCAACATAAATGAATTATACTACAGCCATACCTGAGCAAGTTTACAACCAGCTCGGGCCCAGAAGCAATAAACTGCACTTGCATGACAGCAAGCCTGAGACAGCACCCTGCTATACCACAAAGGGTTTTGCAAAGAGCCAGTTAGGGTCTTTCAACTCCATGTTCCCCAGAACTTCTAGTTCTGAAGTGCTTATTCAGTCTGGCTGAGGCCCATACAAACATACACTGCTCCAGACACTGTGCTGCTTCCACATACTCATTCCCTGGACACAGCTAACAAGCTCTTTTAAGACTGCATGTACTGGAGAGCGTAGTGCAGATACCTAAATGGCTTTGCAGGAAATCAGCTTAGATATGGAGACTAATCACTATTCTGCACACTTTTCTTTTTCTTGTGTTATCCTAAGTTTCCTATTAACCTCTTGATTGTGCAGTTAGAGTGAAATGATTCTGAGATCTGCTTAACAGCAGGTTTGGAAACCTTTCAGAAAAAAATCACAGCCAGATCTAGGAGATTAAGGCATATAAAATGGGATTGAGGTAACTGTCAACACCTAAATCCAACTGTAAGATCTTCTGAACTCATCTAACCCATTAAGCATATTTCACAACTGTAGTTTCCCATGTTCCTGAGGTTCTGCTCTGCCTAAGCTCAAAACCGCTCCTATTCTGACCAGGCTGTAGAGGCTCAAAATGTAACTGCCTCCTAGGTTTGATTGATATCTTCAGATGACCCTGCCTTTAACCTAAGACCTCTGAAGGACCAATCTGGCAGCTTAAAGCACACTTACATTGCTTTTAAGCACTAGTGAGTATTCCATAAGCCACAGTGGCCACAGCAATTTATTAAAATACATTCAGAAGAGGTTGTGGTCGGGTTCTCAACCTCCCTCACCTTTCTACATCCTGGCTGGGGCCTAGTACTCACCCAGGCTGTGGGAGATCTGGGTTCTCTCTCCCTTGGCCAAGAATTGAACCCCCATCTGACACTTCCAACAGATGGATATAATCACCTACACTCCCAGGCTAGGGGTGTTGTTCTCCCCCACCTTCTCCCTTTTACTTGAACTTAATAGAAAATTCACACATACATCCAGTAAGTAAAAAAAAAAAAAAAAAAGGCAGGAAGAAGCCTGACTGTGGCTCAGGGTTGCAGTCAAATAATTCAGCCCTACTTTTTTTACGAACTTATGATACTTTACATTACCGCCTTTTTTATAGCTAGTTTAGAGAGTTACCCACAGAAAAGACCCAATCAGTTGTAAATCAGTTCTAAGCTATATAAATTCTGTGTGTTGAATAAGCAACTTGGGTCCTAAGTGGTCCTTGAGATTTACTGCAGACCCACTGGGCAGGTACAGCTCAGGCAACATAAGGATGTTTAAGTAATCTTTTAGCAGAGAGATTGGGCATGGGAGAAACCTTTATCACTTTTATTCAGTGTTACTGCACAATGTTTCTATAAAAGCTATGCACTAACATAGAAGTAGGTACCAGATTTCATTACCTGTGCAAAATACAACTTTAACTTCTTCCCTCTGAACTGTGTTTCATGCAGCTCTATTCTGGCACGAGCAGCTGATTTGGGACTACTAAAATTTATCCGCACGCGCCTGAAGCTTTTAAACTGCTGGAATGTCACGCAGTCATCATAGGCATGGAACAAGCCTTCAAATTTTTCCTGCAAATGAAAAAGAAATAATGCTGAAGATTAACTTTGTGCTCTGTCACATCAGTCTGTGCCCAAGGATAATCTGAAACTTGACAACAACTGTTTAACTAGGAGGTTTCAGCCTGGGGCCTTTGGGGGTGGGTGTCCACAGACTAATAAGGGCTCTATAAAAAGACACTAAGGAAAGCACTGGTCTGAAAGTGCTGAACTCTGCAAAATGTTTGGGGGAAGGAGTCTTCAAATTGAGAACCCAGCAGCTATTGAATTTCTCCTAAAAGTTGAGCCAAACTGTGACAGTGACTTATGAAATGAAGCTGAAAAGGGCATATGACTGAAAAGACCAGACAACTGTGGTCTTATCTGTACAAAAGCAAACATTGTGTTGAATTACAATGGACTCAGCAGACAGAGTCAGGTGCACTGTAACTGAGGGTTACATTCACATTAACACTGCAGGGTCGTTTTGTATTGCATGTTATGTTTTTCTGGATGTTTTGGCTTTTAAATACTTAGTGCAGATACACACTCGTTCTTTGAGAGTTCCTGTAGCACCAGGGAAAAAGTAAATAACTGAAAACAGTGACCTGTCCCAAAGACAAATTTCAGGCTTAAAAATGTTCAGCTGTAGAACTCCATGTTCAAAAGCACATGACACAAATACGGATATTTCAACATTGTAAAAGAAGGGTCTGAAATGTACCACATCTATGGACCTAGAGATCAGCAGAAATTCAAGGTACGTTAGCAGCCTTGGAGGATCAGACTCTCTCTGCAATTTCTCTGTAAACTATGTGCACACAGTGGACTAGTTCCACATCATCAAATAAAACCAGAGTCCTTAAATCAATTCTGACACTTGCACAGGTCTTTTCATTCACGCAAGCATAGATTCATAAAATGTTAAGACTGAAAGGGAGCCGTTATCATTTAGTCTAGCCTTTGTGCTTACTCAGTTTTTAGACTACCACCCAGTGAGTCTCACATAAAGTCCTAGTATCTTAACTACTGCAACCCAGACTTGGAAGTCTTAGAAGATGGATAATCAGCCAGAGCAAAGCCCCTTCTTTTAAGAGTTCTTTAACCTGAAAAAACCAGCGTTTGAGATGATTGGCCACACCATTTCACACGCTGAGGGCTATTATGTCAGGTGTTTGCATAATTACAGTAACCTGACGTTTTCTTTGATATATCTGCAAGTAAGCACTTCTTTCCTTCTCATCCAGGAAAACAATTTCTTATCCCTTAGAGTGGATAATTGGTAGAGGCTGCAGAAAGATGAAACAGAAAATGCAATTTATGTAATCTCATCAATACTTCAGTTCTCATCTGTTGATCTTACAAGCAAGACAAAGAATCCAGAACTACTTAGAAAAATGTATCCTGAAGCACAGTGAAGCTGCATCAGGGAGCACCAATAGCACTGTCAGCATGATACATTTGTTAAAAAGTTAACTAGGAAAACAGACCAGTTTCGTGGCAAGGAGTATTAAACACTAATACGCATGTAGCAGATCTCCTTTCATTCACTGCCAACTCTGTGGTCTTCTTCCCCACAACTGATAGTCCATCTCTGGCACCCTTTCAAAGGAACCTCCCTGTGGTCTATTAAGCTTTCATGATTTTCATTTCATTTTGCCTGACCTCACTCACCTCTTCCTCTCACCACAGGAGATACTTTGGAGGAGGGAAAAAAATAAAAAAAAGAGAGGAGAGAGCTCAGTGGTTTGGTTGAGGGTGAATAAAGGCATACAGTAATCCCACAAACAGCGTGAAGTTGATAGGTTTGTACAAGCCAGTCTAGTCATACCACCTAATGTTCAAATTGCTGACATTTCACACCTGAGTTATGTTTTTTAACTGCTTTGCTTACAGTTTTGCAAAATTCCATTTTCCTGAGCAGAACTCTACATCCAGTGACATTTGTATAAAGGTCAGCCAAAAGCAGCAGTCATCTCAGTCCTGTCCTGCTTGGAATTTTGATGCTACAACCTTCACAATGACCAGGGAAAGAGGGCTGGGGGAAGGGAGAGAAAGGGACAAGGGACCAGCATATAAGGAGGACTTATGCAGCGTTCAGAAACATGCAGTAGTGTGGATAATCTAAATAAAAGATAATAGTGACTAATTAAAGCTTATGTCTTTATGTTACCTATATTACCTATTTCAGACTTCTTCAATTTTTTTTTAAAAAGCACCTTGAAGTAAACAAACTTAAATACATAAATATATATATGAGAGAAATCAAGGTATTTATATATATACACATACATACGAGAGAGAGAGAGATGATCAAGGTATTGTAATAGAACTCACACAAGCTAAAAATAAGGAGCAAGGTGAACATTTCCTAGTCCCCTGTAGTAGCTCTCAGTTTCCCTACAAGTCAACAATAAAAAAAAATCATAGAAATTCATCATATAAAAAAAGTATTTCACCAACAGTGGAAGAAACCATGCATGGACTTGTCTGAACACTAGGAAGTAAGTATCTATTACAACTGACAATTTATTAGGAAACAGATTCTCCCTGTATCAACACAGCAGTATTTTCTTGCATTGGCCAGTCCTGTGTGCTGGCCCTCTTTTTGCACAGCATATATGACAATGTGGAACCTAGATCTTCGTTAGGGGCATAATGCAAAAGAAGGGAGAACGAGATTTCAAATGTGGGTCCAAGAACAGTGAGCACAAGGAATGTTCTGGGCACATTTCTGGACAATACTGAGACGTACTCTCATTAGGCACAGAAAGGGACAGATGGGAATATCTCTAAATAAAGCTGATTAAGTACTGGACGCCAAATGTAATACTGGGAGAACATTAAAGCACTATGGACTTTATTCTGCTTACTTTTCAATTTGATACTGGAGCAGCTTTAGAGATCCAGCTTTGATTAACACTCCTAAAAATGCCAGGGGGGAGGAGGGGAATGAAGCCCTCTATTTGATATTAATACAGGGCAATCTATCCACAGTTGAGACACATCTACTGCACTGACTCAAACTGCATCTCCCATTAAAAAGATTCATACATCTGAATTTTTCTACATTTTCAGCTGATAATAATAATGACCTCAGCAGAGGTCATTAATCATCAACTGCAGTTAATGGCCCTCAGCTGCATCTTGAGCCTCCCAGCTTGATATTAATTCCCATATGTCTTAATTGCTATTGCCTGTGACTTCTAATATCTGCTGAATGTACTTATCTCAATAAAAGTCTCAGAGTCATTCCAATCTCTAAGAAAATGTATCATATACGTTTTAAAGACCTAAGCAAATTCCATCCCTTTCAAGTTTCGCAGCTAAATTATTCAAGACTCATAATCCCCTCAATTCAGGACTTTTAAAGCGCTTTTAGGATTCAGTATTTTTAAGATGCTTTTAGAAAATAAGTCTTCAAACTTTCAGAATACTTTGAAAACTCCTGAAAAAAAATAAAGGAACATCCAAAGTTAAGCAGCAGTGTTGCTACTCTTAAAAAGTCAAAATGCATAAAGTCATGAGCGATGCATTTATTTCTAGGATTTGGGCATGTCTTCATCCATCCCAGGTATGTCTCCGTGAGAACCAATTAATGCTCTGGCGAATGTGAGTAGCCTTCATTTGACCAATACTGCAGAAGCTCTCACTTCTCCCTCCTGGGTTCCATGGCCTCTCTTCATCTCACTATTTCTTTGCCCAACACGGGGCACCTTTCCCCAGTTGTTTCCTGTCACCTTCCATCAGCCATCATTCACCACCTCTAGCAATTTCTAGAGTTGTTTGGGTTTTTTTAATTAACAAAATTAGCACAAAGTAGGAACATACTAATTAAGGCTGCTGATTACTCAAGCTTGATTGTTATCATTTACGACAGCCAATGCAGAGGACAAACAGAGCACCATCCAAGGAAGAAGTGAGCACTGGAGTACAAGGTCAAAGCTGTGCACTCATGGACTAAAAACTTATTCCTACTACTAAATGGGAGCTCACCTGGGAACCAAGATCCTATAAGTCCCATGATAGAAGTGATGAGCGAAATGCAGCCATAAGGAGGCAAACAAAATACTGGATGCATTTGGAAAAGTATTTCTAGTACAGCATGTAAAGTATTAACAACATTATATGGAGCACTATTACACCTCATTAAAGATGCAGGTTTTGTTGCCTGTATCCCAGATAGATTAAGCCAAACGGGAATAGATTCAGATACAGGCTACAGGGAATGAACAACTTGCTGAATAAGAAATGAAAATGCTTGGCTTATTTAGCAAAACAAAGCAAAGCCTGAGAGGAGATGGGACAATCATCAGTAGTTTACCAGAACTGTACAGAATAAAGACAAAGTATACTGTATAGACTGGAAGACTATGTTGGCATGAAACGAGTGGAAACAATTGGCATAATAAATAGGTTTAGTCTAGAAGTTAAAGAAGGTTTCAAACATCAGAGTAATGATCCAGAAACAACCTTCCAATTACAGCAGCAGTGGTGAATGATTTTTTTTTTTTAAGATTGAATTTGGTTAGTTCATGTGAGGGACTATGACAAACTATGGACACAACAAGCATTGTAAAACATGACTGCCTGAATTAGCAAGTGAATTGGGTTCTGACACAGCAAGCTCCTGTGATTTATTTCCAAACATTTCTTTCATGAATAGCTCCACTGGTATTGTGTTCATTCAGGACAAAAGCCAAGGCCTAATTCAAATCAGTGGAAGTCTTTCCACAGACATCAGTGAGCTTTGGATTAGAGCCCTAGAACTCAGAACACAAATTACATTTTATTGTTCAGTGTGTTTACGCTCATTATCACCCTTGTTACACGTTTGATTTAGGAGATGGCTGCGATTTAAAACTTTAGTCTAATCCTTTTTCGTAGAGTTTTGCAAGCAAATAAAGCAAGCATTTTTCCCATTTTAATTTTTCTTGTTCATGTATATAAAAGATAATCCAAGCAACCAACTGTATACAATAGGGAAACTGAGACATAATTGACAATTATGAAATATGTTTTCCCTGAAATTC